TAATTTGGAACTCGGGGCTCTCAATCTCGATCCGCTGTGTCGGTGACAATTGAGAGTCCCTGCTTAAGCTTGAATAAACGACCCTCGTGTGCTTACATCGGAAACGGCCTCCTGGTGGTCTCTGGGACTTCGCAATCTGGGCACAACAAGGCTATGGTGCATAAGGTGTACACAAAAATAAGTGAGATTCGTATTTAGACTTTGGTTTCATCTCCAAGATCTCTCATTATGTATATGCAAATATTACAAAACCTAAAAAAAAAATCCAGAATACAAAACACTTCTTGTTCCAAGTATTTTGAATAGTTACTCAACCTGTGCTATTGCAACAACAACTATGGCTGCTTTTTTCCTCTAACCCCTTTCCAGGATCCAAAACCTGTAGTAATCTTTTGATATAAGATAATTCATCCAATTTTCAATCACTTATAACCTGTGATAAGGAAAAATTAAGATAAAACCACAAAAGGATCATATCTATGTTTCTTTGATGTCCAGTTCACAGAAAGAAATATAAGAAGTCAAAATTCTCTTTAACCATTAACCACACGAACTGTAACTGTAACCTGTAAAGTTAAAACTTTTATTATTTTAGGTAGAGACAGAGAGGACTTTTTACTTTAAGTCAACAATTACTTTGGGCCTCACAGTTGTTACTGGTTCTGGGCTACTGATTACCAGTAAGTTGGATTTAAGAATACACCAGAGGAGAGAGGACTTGTGAATTAGCTAATTAGTCTCTAGGCCGAAAGTTGATTCCTCGAAGCAGCCAAGTTTACAAAAAAGTTAGAAAGATCTAGAAGAGGTATGACTAAGGAAGAGGAAGGGGATTCATTGTAAAGTGCAAATACACAAAAAGCACCAAGACTGCACACAACCACTCTTTGGAAATGAGTTCAGTGCAGCCTGGATTCTCCGGGCCCAGATGAGGAGGTGGGGGTGTGAGGACACTGGAAATGGAAAAGTAACAGCTGCTGGAACCACAGTGGTGGTTGTGGAGCAGAAACTCTCAGACACCATTCAGTTTTAGTTTTCACATACTCATTGCTGTTGTAACTACAGGACCTTACCAAAGCTCTGTCCACATGGGCTTCTTTAGCCACTAACACATTATACAGAAGGCAGCATCTGTATCACCCTCAGGTGATCTGCGCAATGGTGCATTTTGCACTTGTCTCTTGTCTGTTTCAAGCAAACAGCAAAACTTTATGATTCGGGAATAGGGAGGATTTTTTAAATGTACAGTATTAGAACATTGTTAGTTAACAGATCCTTTTTTTTTTTTTTTCAGTACCGGGGATCAAACTCAGGACCTTGCACTTACAAGGCAGGCACCAGAACCACTGAGCTAAATCCCCGGCCCAACAGATTCTTCCTTATGTTTAGCATTTGTGTCTACACTGTGGTTACGAAAGTTGGTTAACTCTGAAAGATTCAGATTTAGCCTTAAATAGGCCTGGGGACCCAGTGTCATCTTAACCTTCCTCTCTGACCTGAACTGAACCCCCTAGGTGAATGCTAATCTGAGGCTGTTACTCAAATGCAGTGCTGTTCAGTAGAACTTTCTGCACTGATGGACTTGTTTGATGTCTGTGCTGTCCAGTTCAGCCAGCCCCTGTCCACATGTTTGTGTGGCAACCATACTGGACAGAACTGTCCCAGAAACAACTGGCAAAAGTCACTAATGACATGTCTACTGTCTCCTTGGGCAGACGATTTCAGTCCTCATTTGACTAGACTTCTCCACAGTGTCTGGCTCGGGACCATTTTCATCCTTGCAAACCTGTCTCCTCTTAGGTTTTCATGATACCATGGCTCCTGGCTACCTCCTATCTTTCTTTTTTATCAGTACTGGACATATTTGCAGAACATGATGTTTTCATCCCTTGTGGGGAGCTGGTACATGTACATAACACATCTTAATTCCTTTTTTCATTCCTCTCCCTCCCTTTCCTCTTCCTCTCTGTCTCTTGATCCCCTTCCCATTTGAGAAAGTTCTATCTCCCTTCTTCCTCCTACCTTTTATTTTGCTCTTTATTTCAATTTTGGGTTTCTCATATCAGAGAAAATGTGATATTTAAGCTTGTGTGTCTGATTTATTTCACTTAACATTATGGTCTCATAGTTCATCTATTTTCTTAAAAATGACTCAAGTTTATCCTTCTTTATGGCAGCACAGTACTCCGTTGTGTGTAAATATCACATTTTCTTTCTCCATCCATCTGTTGATGGGCATATAGGTTGCTTCCAAGATTTAGCTATTATGAGTTGTGTTGCTATAAACATGACTATGCATGTATCCTTGTAATATGATGTCTTTAACTCTTTGGCAAGGTACCTACAAGAGGAATATCTGGGTGAAATGAAATTTCTATTTTTAGTTTTTTGAGGAATCTCCATATTGATTACCATAGTGGTTGTACTAGTTTACATTTCCACCAGCAATGGAGAAGGGCTCTTTTTTCCCCGGCATTCTCACCAGAATTTGTTACTATCTGATTTCTTGATGATGGCCATTCTTTCCGATGGTCTCTTAGTGTTGTTTTAATTTACATTTCTGTAATGGCCAGTGATGTTGAACATGTGTTCAGGTATTTATTGGCCATTTGTTTTTCTGTGAAGCATCTATTCATTTCACTTGCCTATTTTTTGATTGGGTGTCTTATTTTGAGAGGTTCTACTTTTTTGAGTTCTTCATATATTCTAGATATTAGTCCTCCGTCCCTTGAATAGCTGGGAAAAATTTGTTCCCTATTCTGTAGGTTGTCTTTTCACTCTGCTGGTTGTTTCTTTGGCTGTGCAGAAGCTTATTATTTTGGTCTGATCCCATTTGTTGATTCTTGGTACTATTTCCTATGCAGCTGGGGCTCTGTTCAAAAAGTCCTTATCCCTACGACATCAGGAGTTTTACTGATTTTTATCCTCCACCAGATTGTTCTGGTTTCAACATTTAGTTCTTTGATCCATTCTGATTTTAGTTTAGTACATGGTGGGATATAGGGGTCTGGGTACCATTTCTTTCCCAATTGCTCTTCTTCTTGGCTGCCCCTTTCTCAGTCTGCCTTATATCAAGATTTTCCAAGGCTCGGCCCTTTGTTTCAGTCTCTTGGCTGCAAACTCTCAGTACACAATGTCATCTGTTCCTCATTATCTGCTTAATGCTCACGATGTGGGCACTAAAAATTTTATATGCATGAGCTTATTTGATCACCACCACTTGGATAAACTGTAGGTACTATTATTAACCTCATTTTACAGGTGAGAAAACAGAAGCTAGAGAATGCAAGTCTCTTGCCCAAGGCCACAACTAATCATAGTGCTGCTGAGAGCCAAACACAGACACCTGACTCATGACCCACACGTCTGATGGCCACCAGTAAGTTGATGATCCTGACTTCTGTATCTGCAGACCAGACCTACATTTTTCACTGCATGTATCTAGGTGGAAGTCCCACCTACTCCCAGGAGTGTGGATTGAACCCAGGGCCTTTGAGCTGACCTGTATACTCCAGCCATTTACTTATTTGTTTATTTATTTATTTAAAATTTTGAGATAGTTTAGTTTTGCTAAGTCACTAAGTTGCCTAGGCTGGGCTCAAACTTGTGAGCCCCCCATTTTCCCCCAATTTTAGAATTACAGGTAGGTACCACCATGCCTGGATCTATGGGGAAATCTTAACGGCATCTAAAATTCAATGGACTCAAAATGTCTTTATTTTTCTCTTGCTTCTCTTATGCTAGATAAACCCCATCCACCAATCCAGAGTATCTGTCAACCCTGGAAGTCATCCTAGTCTTCCCTTGTCCCTTGCTCGAAATCCAGCTGATGCTTGTTAATTTTTTCTTCTCTACAGTGTCAGTGCCTTGATGTAGACCTTTCAGTGCCTTACCTGGGCCAAACTGGTTTTCCAGCTTGTAATCCCTGCTCCCTCCAATCCATCCACCACATTTCCAGTTACTTCTCTAAAATGCAAATGTGTCCATGATATATGAGCTTCCCATATAAAGCTTTTCATGATATGACTGTAGCCTCCTCATTCTTTTATGCACTCTACATTGTACTTCTTATTCTGGCCATACCAAATAATCTGTACTCTGGAACTAGCCCCGTATGAACCCTGTATGAGCTACTTCTGCTACCCAAAGCTTTTATCTTCCATCTTGGCCTGTTAGACTCTTATTGTTCATCTAAGATTCAGTACACTTTCTCCTCCAGAAAGTCTTTCCTCACCATCCAAGGGAGGTAATTCGTCCCTCCTCTGGTTACCATACAAAGTTCTGTGATGGTCCCATCACAGCCTTCAGCACTATTTGGTTATCTATTCCCTACCTACCAGGGACCCACTGAAGGCAGGCACTGCCTCTCATTCAATTCTGTCTTTGGTGTCTACTCTGCACTTGGGAATTACTAGGTGCACTGAATTGAGCAGAGTGATGCTTTGGCTACCCAGATCGTGAAGCAGAAATCTTGGGTACCATGAGTCCAGTATTTGTACTTAATTTTGGGAAGGGACAAAAAATAAAACAAAACAAAAATCCATCACTGAGCTGTTTGTGGTCTCCTTCCCAGACCATTTTTCTTGAGGTAATCCTAGTGAGAGTGATGGCAATGAATGTGACACCATCCTTACCTGATAGTGATGATCTGCCCAATGCTCAGGTCCAAGTTATTCAACTGTGCAATGAACACAGCTGCCACTGCTTCATAGAGCGCGGTCCCATCCATGTTGATTGTGGCACCAACAGGCAACACAAATCTAGTGATCCTCTTGTCCACCTTATTCTTTTCTTCTGCACAGCGGAAGGTAACAGGTAGGGTTGCTGAACTGGTGTGATAAAAAGAAAAGAACTATGGCCCAGGGATTTAGCTCAGTGGTTCTGCTGCCTGCCTTACAAGCACAGGGTCCCAAGTTTGATCTCTGGTACCAAGAAAAAAAAAGGAAAAGAACTACCGTCTAAGAATGCCTGTCTTGAGTCCCCACCTGAAATCATACCTCTCTTCTAAAAAGTAAACAAAGGGCCTGAAGCCTGTTGGCACTTTTGGTGAGTTCAGAAATCAGATGGTGCTGTGCTCATCACCACCCCAATCGTACTGGACCTCCTTCCTGGGCTGCAGGCCATGCCTGAGGCACAGAGAACATTCAAGAGAGTGAAGAAATATGCTCAAGGACAGGGCAGAAAATATGAGGGTATCTCTCCAAGGTACTAACAAACCACAAACTGGAGTTTGCTTCATCAAGTGAAGTGAGAGTTGATAAGGTATGGCCTGGAGGCTTCTTCCAAAAGGCCCTTTGCTAGTTACCTGGATGAGATCATGAGAGCTGTAAGTAGAGCCTGGGCCATGCCCATGGCAAATCGGAAAGGGTTCTTCCGCACAAGTATGAAATATATCAGTGGGAGAATTACAATGGAGTGGATCGCAAGCCTGCAAACAAAAGAGAAGAAACAGTTTTAGAGAATACCACCTCTTCGGACTTAATCCTTTTTTCAAACAGCTTCTTAAATCATGATAATTTTCAACTGTCGTAATGAACCAATGAGAAAAGGGGAAGTAGAGTAGGAATTACATGTCCTTATTCCACAGATGAGGATGCAGAGGCTTAGTCAGTAAAGAAACATCTTGTCAAAGGTAATGGTAAATTCAATAGCTGAGTCCAAGGGTTACATCAAGCTGCTGTTATCCCTGTAATGCTCTATTTCTGCCATGTGTGAATATGCTCTTCACTTTACATTGCCTTCTCCAGGAAGCCATCCTTCACTTTCCCAGGTAGAACTGATTTTTTCTTTTTGTTCCCCCATGACACCCTCTCATAACCCTCATCATAGCTTCTCTCTGTCCCCTGGACCATACCACTGTCTTCCTCAGCAGTGTCCATTCGGGGAAGTCAGAATTGCAATAAGGGAAAAGTCCTTGCTTCTCCACATACTTTGAGACTGGCCCTCTTTCCTTTATTATTCATGTCTTCTCAAATTATTCCTTGTTCCACATGGAAATATAAGGATTACGCAGAATTGAGGAATTCAAGAAATGAGAACCATTTGGCACATGGCATATATATGTAAGTGGGACTTAAGAGCCTACAGATCCATTATACAAAATTGAAATAATAAAGGATCATTGAAAATACAAATTCTGGAGGGTCAAGATGGGGTCTTTTCAACAGAGGGCTTATAGCTAAGAATTACGAGTTTTTAACTGTAACTTTTAGTTTTTGTTAGAGATCTACATATTGCCAGAGAAAATCCAGCAGAACTCCACTGTGGAATGAATGGGTGAGGATCACGGGCCTCAGTCTAGACACAACCCTGGTACTGCCTGTTTCAGCAGCCTAGAGAAGGGCTGGCCGCTGAGGAGGTAGGTGGCCTGCCTCATTGACCTCTGTGGCTCTGGGATTTGATTCTGGCCCTCACACTGTAGAAACTCAGGCTGCTTCTGTGTTGGCTGGTAGGGCTGTACTTCCAGCAAACACAGATTAAGAACCACTGTGTGCAACAGAAACTCTGCAGTGCAATCAATTCCAATATGTGAGTTGATGGCTTGTGTTGGGTGTTTGACCTGTGAGAATCAAATCAATATTATTTTTGTCTTCCTTTGGCTTATATTTCTTACTGTGTGTGACATATTCTGCCCTTGGCTATGTCCAGGGCACCATTCGTTACCTACCCCCCTGCATTTCCTTTGAAGGAACCAATAATCACCTGTAACCTGCAAATGACCCATCCTGCTGCCTATGGCCTCACATAATTCCTAGTAGCCTGAGGATTTCCCCAGTACTCTCCCTGACACCCTGATGATGTGGGCCATGGCAGTAGCCACCAGCTCCAGGAATAGCAGTTGAACCAATTAGCCCTCCTGCTCCTACCAGTGTGAGCAGGATCTGATTTCATTTAGACTCTCTTTAACTTCTTTCAATCTCGGTCTGCAATAGGAACTTAGAGCCTAGATCTGTCTGCAGGTGACCAATGGGTAACTAAAACTAGGATGAATCTTAGTATCCCTGCCTTTACTTTATATCTGTTTCCTTTATTATGTTGAAACTTTGGGCCAAATTCCTGCTCATCTCTGCATATTGGCATGTTAATCCCTTAAGGAGTATCTGTCTAAAAACTAGTAATACAAAGATAATTAGCACTAAGCTTGTATCATCCCACTTTAACACTGAGGATACCAAGAATAACTGAGGTAATTTTCAGGATTTGCAGGGACATCCAGTTGCATACTTTTATATCATTCAGTTCCACACTCCCTGGAGTGATGCCTAGAAATCTCCAGTCATTATCCTAGAGCTACAGTTACCTCAGAGTCCAGGAAAAGCAGAGGCCCAGAGACCACCCTGTGATGAGGTCACCCTTCAAGCAAGAACAATTACCCTGTGATGGACCCAGGGTACTCTCCTAAGTAAGAGTCATCACCCCAGGGAGGGAATGAATTGCCCCCTCAAGCAATGATGGCTCTCCAGGACCTCATAGAATCCATCCTGAGATAACTAGCAACCAGCCTATGCTTGGCCAGGATTACCTATGCTGCCAGCTATACAAACCCTCAATCCTTGCCTTCATTCCTCTTTCCAATAAAACCCTAAAGTTTCTGTCAGCTCCTTGAAGAAAGATCTTAAACTTCTCTATCTTTCTGCATGGTATGGTCATGCTGAGTAAATCTCCTTTCCTGCCCTTCACCACTGTTCCTCTCCTTCATTGGTGTTTTGGGACAAGTGGCCCAGCCTGGTCTGTTGGGGACCCCCCCACACACACACCCTGAGTTGGGGCTCTACCCTAAAACACCAGTGTCAAGGGTATGCAGGGGGCTTTCCTTAATTGCCTGGCTGGTTTATATTCTTGAGGAAGTAATAGGCAGGAAGCAGCAAGAAGAAGCGAGTGGCTTTCTCTCTAGTTAAAAAAAAAAAATCATTTAAACACAACCAACAACAGCAGCGATGGCAAAGCCTGATCCAGGCTGTTCTGCCAAGAGCTGGAAATTAGCCCAGAATGATCCACCTACAGTGCAGCTGTTAAAGGACAGCTCTCTCCCCCTGCTCTCTTATTTCTGAACCTTATCTTTCCCTGCACTAGGGAGCAGAGCAAGCTGACTTTAACCAAAGACACCCCAGCCTCCCTGCAGCAATCCTATTGGACCAATGAAGTTTTTGTTTCTTCTCTTGAGTCAGACATACCCACTCAGGACGGTGGCCATGTAAAGACCCAGCTTGCGGAATATTTCCCAGTCTTCGACTTCTATGATCTTCCCAGCAATCAGGAACAAAATACCAAGTGGCATATAACTAAGAAGTAAGCACAACAGAGACACAATTCTATCATCAGAGATTTTCTCTGGATGAGGATGTTGGGGGAAGGAATAAGCCAGGGCATACACTCGCAGGCTGCATGCCCACTCAGCTGGGAGGAACTCAGGGTACAGCATGAAACCAAGGGCTCAGCTCCAAGTCCTGGGTGGACTACTGGCTCTAGTTTGTAGTATCTGCATGCACCTTAGATTCTGCCCATTTGAACTACTGACAGTAGTTTGCAAACTTGACAAGAATCTGTGGTCAGACTGGTGCATACCCCATGCCATAGCAAACACAAGTGCACATACATCCTATAGATTTGTCATATGTGCTTATCTCACTTGCACTTGATTCTCACTACAAAATATGGATGCTAGGCTCTTTCTAGCCATGGTCATTTTGTTTCTCAGGTATCAAAAACAGAGGCAATGGTAGGAGTAGTGGAGTGGTCATAATAGCTCTATTTGTGGAGCTCATTATGTCTTGGGTTAAGGAAAGCATTTTATATTCATCATTTCACTTAATGTACTGTTCTAGCCCTGGACATAGGGTTTTTTAATCCTTTTTAACAGATGATGAAGCTGAGGTTTTTGCTGCATTAAGTGACTTATCTACCTGTTATTAATGAGTCTTTCATGTCACTAGCAATGTCTACCTTTGGATTAAATAATGCTGAACCAATTTGATAAGAGATAAGTGAGGCAGAGGTCTCTCAAGAAAAGTGGAGTTCCTGGCATCTCAGAGACAGGGCAGATACTCAGATGGTAGCTTTCCTTCAGATGGGTTAAGACCCATGCTGGAGCAGTTATTAATATTTTAAATCCTACTTCTGTCTAGGGCCTAAGAAGGAAAGCACTTTGTGTTCTGATGTGCAAGTAACTATTTCAAATCATTGCTTTAAGAGTCGCCTCTTACACAAATGGTGGTTGGGTGCAAGATGATCTCCCAAGGCTTTGAGGGTAAGACAGGGCTGACAGCCTTTTATTGAAGAATGAACTCCTAAACAGTATGTGGAGTTATTTACTACTCTAGTGTTTTGAGTTGCAGTGTCTGCTTCCTCTAGGAAGAGGCCAGCTGAGGAGCATTAGCTTCTTTCTAATTTTGAGGACACAGAGTTGTTCAGGGGAAGCAAAATGGCATTAAATAGTGTCTGCTCACCACATAATGATCTGAACGATTTTCATGGTTGCATCACTCAAAGCATTGAAGAAATCCACCAAAATCTGTCCCTTTTCTCCCATTTTTCCAATGACAAGTCCAAATACGAGGCAAAAGACAATCAAACCCAGGACATTTACACCATCTGCATAATTGCCTACAATTTTGTATTCCTTCGTTTTGTTCTGTGGATCAAAACCAAGAAAATATATTGATGCATGATTACAATCACAGTGATCTCCCAGAGTCAACATTACTTTAGGAAATTTAATCATCATCATCATGATCATCATCATCCCTGCATATGTAACAAATATTATCCCCCCATTGAAGCTTAACAGATTTTTCCTTCTCTTAACAAGTCCATATTTGAATATTTCTTTTGAAAATTTCTAATTTTGGAATGTTTTACATTTTTATTATGAATTTTAGAATCAGGACTCTTTTCAGTGTTATTTTAACTACTAGCTACATTTGGAGTCTATTTTAAGAAAGAAATTAATAATGCAGGAAGTACAAAATACCAGAGTGAACCTTTTTAGGACATTTTGCTATCTGTTTTACCTCGATGATGAAGCATAGGAACGTTTTTTCACTGCCTCTGGTCTTGGATGCCCAACAGATTTTGGAGATACAAAAATTAGCCAGATATTTGCTAATATGAACAATTTCTTTACTGTATCCTGGGCAAAAATAGCATGAGATTTACTGGGAGTAGATGACATAATCTTAGTGGTATAAACCAGGTTTATAAAGAATTATGATGAACCAATGGGATACCAGTCATTTCTTATTTATGATGAAACAAATATTTATGGAGTAGCTGGAATGTTCTAACAGCATTAGCTACAACATGAGGTCTTCAAATTTAGCTGGAGAGACAAGACAATCTGTGAGAAACACAGGCCAATACCAAGTTGGTGTGTAATTAACTAATGCCAAGGTAAGCGTTACAAGCATCACATAGAGCCTGGGCCATGAATGGGCTTCAAAGACAGAGAAAGCTATGTTTGAGAGTAGGCAGCCAAAAGATACAACATGTGCCAAAAAATGGCAAAGAACGGCAAAAGTCAGGTGTACTGGGCCTTTGTAACCTGCTCAAATAATCCTTATTCATCATTTATGACCCCCAAACTAACTTAAAACTACTGTTGAATGTTCCCAAGCACCTTGTTCTTCCCAATTGAAATTCCACTTTTTGCATGTAGGCAGATGCTATATCTATCTTTCAACTATTATAATCATAATGCCCAGTAAGACCTGGCATATGAAGGGGCCTCAGAAAAATGTTGGTGAAACATCAAAAGGCAAGAATAAGGAATAACTGAGGAGGCAGATCTGGACAGGAGAGGGGTCCACTGGGAAGTAAGCTGGGAAAACTTAAGAGAAGCCAGGCCATGGAGGCCTCTGACCACAGCCTCTATTTAATTTGAATTCTTAAGTCTTCTGAATTTTTCTCTTTTCCTTCAATGTTTCCTTTTTTTTGAGGGCAGAGAACAGTCAGAAGTCTAATGGGCCTACAAAGGCACCATTTCAGGCCCACAGAGGGATTTGGATAAAGAACTATGTGCCTGTATTGTGCATTTACAAAGCCTTGCAAATCTACAGCAGTGCCCAAGGTGTCCAGCTGTAAGGAGTGGCAGAGACACAGTGGCAACAAAGCTCATTTTTTTTCTCTGTATGTAGTTGATTCTTTTTATTCTTGGTAGCAATGCTGTATAAAGACCTCAGGAACACTGAGTTAGCAAATATTGAACTACTGCTCCTAGAAGAAATACAAGGTTAGGTTCCTGGGAACCCTGGTCACATCATTTACATCAATCATTACCTGACATTGTTTTATGTGATTCTATTTAAAGACATCTCATTCAGTACACATTGTTGATCCATTAACATTCAACTCATGGCCAACAGAACTATAACTCATGCCTGAATGAAGCTTTTTTTTTTTATTGCACCTATCTTTTCCTTTACCTATCTTCTTAAGCCACATCACAGCATTTTTGAGCTTAGGAACGCTAGAGAACACTTTATTACTAGGATGTGGTTCACTTTAAATAGCAACATAGCAAAGAAAAAGCACACACACACAAAAGTGGCACTGAACACACCATGAAATGGATACTTGTGTATGAGAGCCAAACAAGTAGGCAGAGTGTAACCTTGTTCAACTCAGCTGAGAGCTTATGGGTGGTTGGCTGAAATTATGTGTGCTCTTGCGATGACCATAAAAGGACCAGGTACTGAATTTGTGTTTACAAATAAATTTTAGCCAGGAGGTGGACTCACTAATGTGGATTCTGTGAATGACACAGATTGACTATCTTTCCATCTCCTGCTCACTTGTGACTGGCACCGGCCTACAGGGAAAGGTGAGTGGGAGTCAGAATGGTACCTCTGAAACTGTTGTCATGACGCTGGTGACAGGCTCCTCTGTTGTGTTCCTCTGGGAGTCACTGGGAGGCTGTATTTCTTCACGCTTGGTTTTATACTGCACATTGGACAAAAACAAAGACACACAAACATAAAAACAGAGCTTTTTAAACTTCTGACGATATACCAAAGAAACACATTATTTTGGCCAAACAAGTGCCACCAAGGATTCTATCTCCAATGACTTTTTTGTTTCTAGTTTTTGATGACTCCTCCCATTAGGATTTAGTACTAACAACAGGATAAAGAAACACAAACCTCTGACTCCCACCACTACCACTCAATAATGTCAGAATGTGTTCCCACTTTCATAATAAGAGACAAATTAATGAAGAGATATGTGAAAGACATGTTTTATCTGTAGGCACTTTCACAGGAAGATCTTGTAGGAATTCCTGTTGATCACTTTTTTATTAAATTTTTTTTTTTTTTTGGTACCAGGGATCAAAGTTGGGACTTTGCACTTGTGAGACCGGCGACAGAACCACTGAGCTAAATCCCCAGCTTTATTCATTATTTTTAATATGGAAAAATTACCTCATTACTTTGGTAAAAGTTGTCACCATAAATTTAATAAATATCAAGAAACGTTTAACTAGATGGCTATGTCCAAATCAACACTCCTTTCAGGACTATTCTTGTGAGTGAGATTTCTTTGGAATTCTCTTCCTTTAACCACTTGGTTCTGCGTAAGCTTCAACACAGAGGTTTAAGAAAGAGCTAGTATATTAGTACGCTAGGCATAAATGGCTCTGCCAATACTGAGACCCTCACAAATGACTAGCTGTAGGTGATCTGCAAGGGCACTCCTGAAACAGAGGTGCTTCTGTGCCTCATGGAGGTTGGCAGGGAGCAATATAATTGCCATTTTTGTTGGTATACACAGAGGACTCTGTTCATGTAATTTATGTAAATGAACACAGCAGTTTGTGATAGACTCAGCTGTCTTAAAGTACACAGACAAATGGAAAAAAATACATGTAAACAGAGCAAAGAGACTGTTAAACTTTGCTGGAGAAAAATCCACAGCTTTGTCCACTGCTCTGAGAATGCCAGCAATGGGCACATAATGGTTAAGGAAAGGACTGAATCCAGGAACACCAGCCACATCCTGTGGGTTAGACACGGATTGTCACCATGAGATGGACAGGAGAGAGGAGATGGAGAACTCCTTTTTTTTCCCCCACTGCCTTGCATCTGTAGAGAGTCCAAGTTTCTTTACAAATATAACATGATTCTTCAAACTAGAAGTTAAAGGGCACATTTTAAAAGACTCATTTTTGACAGACTCTTTGCTCCATTTGAACCCTTATGAAGGAAAAAGGCATACAGGAAAAGGAAGCAGTGCAAATTATGACATGCACTGTGGACTGGGAAGACCATGAATAAAACAGATGAGTCACCTGAGATTCCACCATTCACAGGTGTGCTTCCTGGTGCCATTTATATAT